AAAAGGTAGATTACCTGACGTTCCCATCTGTGTGAACATAATGGTACTGATCAGGCTCTAAGCATCTTTACTTCCGTGTTCGGATGGGAACGGGTGTATCCTACTTGATATGAACCTACCGCTATGCTTCTTACTTATGACTAGACTATCTTATATTTTCTTATATTTTTTTATATTTTCTTATATTATTATATTATTATATTATATGACTATGTACTTTTATTATTATTTCTACTCTGACTATTTTATATCTTCCTTACGTCTTTTATATATCATATCTATATCATATCTATATCATATCTATATCTATATCATTTCTATATCATTTCTATATCATTTCTATATCATTTCTATATCATTTCTATATCATTTCTATATCATTTCTATATCATTTCTATATCATTTCTATATCATTTCTATAACTTATATAACTTATATATCCTTTTTTTTATCCTATTTTATGATTGTTATAGGGCTTGTGGCGCAATGGAAACGCATCAGACTACGAATCTGGGGATTGCAGGTTCGATCCCTGCCAAGCTCGTCTTTTTATTGACTACTTTAATCCCTGACAACTTCTATATCCTTTATATTCTATTATATATATATTTCTTTATATATTTATATTCCTTTATATATGTACCTATGTATGTATGTATTTATATCTTTATCTCTTTATCTCTTTATATCTTTATATCTTTATCTCTTTATATCTTTATATCTTTATCTCTTTATCTCTTTATCTCTTTATATCTTTATCTCTTTATCTCTTTATCTCTTTATATCTTTATCTCTTTATCTCTTTATCTCTTTATCTCTTTAAAAAAAACTCCCTATATAAAACCAAAAAGGTAGATTACCTGACGTTCCCATCTGTGTGAACATAATGGTACTGATCACGCTCTAAGCATCTTTACTTCCGTGTTCGGATGGGAACGGGTGTATCCTACTTGATATGAACCTACCGCTATGCTTCTTACTTATGACTAGACTATCTTATATTTTCTTATATTTTTTTATATTTTCTTACATTATTATATTATTATATTATATGACTATGTACTTTTATTATTATTTCTACTCTGACTATATTATATCTTCCTTA